TTCTGCTGATTATTGTTAGAACTAAGAATAATGATATATATCTGTGGACTGCAGAAAACCTTCCATTGTGTTATTGAGGTGAGTTGTCCTATAGTTCTAACACACTACTGTCCTAGGGTGACAATGCTGATACTCCCTAGACAATGAGTGAATGTTGTCACCGTAAGACAGGAAGTTTGTTACCAGCAGGATTATTTTTGTGAAAATAAAAGAGGGGAAAAAAAAAAAACTAAATGCGGTCACATTGTTAACCTCTCTGAAGTAAAATTCTTACTGAATCCTATATTTTTGTGGCTAGTTGCTTCACAGTACTCTCCTTTGTTCCAAGTGATTCAATAAGCATCCTAATTTTGTTGTAGTGCTTCACAGGATCTGAGTTTGGTTTATTCTTGTGCTTTTAAAAAAAATGGTTTTATTTCTGTGAACCTTACCCCCAGCTCCCACATATTGCCCTCTTAGAATGGTAATGTTGCTTGTGTTCCCTGTACTTCCCAATCATTGTGAACCTATTAAATCTGTGTGATATTAAAATACAATATGTGCTGTTTGAATATTGGATTGGCACAACACATCATGGGCATCTGATTAGTTCCCTTGGTTTTCTGTTGTTATTCCAGCACTTGTTAGGGTATCATATGCCTAATAGTGTTGTGCTATTTTGTATTTATGAATCAATCTGTATAGCTATCCTAAACTGGAATGTAATGTGTGGATAGAATAGCAGGTTCAGTCACTCAGCAGCTTCTGCAATTCTGTACAGCAAATCCAACAGTAAACTAACCATAAATGCTAGACATGTGGTCCAAGTGAGTATGCAGCAAGAGGCTATACTAGTACATCCAGATTTCCATATATCAGAATGTAATTTGTTCAACAAATGATAAAGCAGTGATCTGGTACCTAAAACGTAAATCCTCCATCCCTATTCAATATTCACAGTGGGGAAAATTAATTATTTGATCCCCTGCAGATCTAGTAAATTTGCCCACTTACAAAGAAAAGTCTATAATGAAGGTGTATTTTAAATGATGGAGACTAACAACCAAACATCTAGAAAAAACACATAATACAAATGTTATAACTTGATTTGCAGTTCAGTGAGTAAAATAAGTATTTGACCCCCTACCAACCAACAATAATTCTGGCTCCCACAGACTGGCTATGTGCTCATGTGGTACACAGATTAGTCCTGTCAATTTAAGAAGGTGCTCCTAATGACAACATGTTGTGTATGAAAGACACCTGTCCACAGAATCTTTTTCTTTCATTCAAACCTCACCATCATAGGCAAGTCCAAAGAGCTGTCAAAGGATGTCAGGGACACATTTGTAGACCTGCACAAGGCTAGGATGGGCTACAAGACCATCAGCAAGAAGCTGGGTGAGAAAGAGACAACTGTTCGAGCAATTATTCGCGCAAACGGAAAAAATACAAATATCAATCAATTGCCCTCAGTCTGGAGCTCAAAGATTTCGCTTCATAGGGTAAGGATGATCATGAGAAAAATAAGGAATCAGCCCAAAACTACACGGGAGGAGCTTGTGAATGATCTCAAGGCAATTTGGACCACAGTCAGCAAACAAACCATTGGTAACACAAAACACAAGCATGGATTGAAATTCTACAGCTCCCTCAAGGTCCCCTTCCTCAAGAAGGCACATGTACAGGCACGTCTGAAGTTTGCCGATTAACATCTAAATGATTCAGAGAAGTATTGGGAGACAGTGCTGTGGTCAGATGAGACCAAAATTAGGCTTTTTGGTATTAACTCAACTTGCTGTGTTTGGAGGAAGAAAAATGCTGACTATGACCCCAAGAACATCATCCCTACAGTCAAGTCCATTATGCTTTGGGGCTGTTGCTCTGCTAAAGGTACAGGCTGACTTCGCCACATTGAGGGGTCAATGGACAGGGCCATGTATTGTAAAATCTTAAATATATATAGTAGAGGTGTAGCGCTAAAAAATCCAAATAAAACAGATAAGTATGCCAATATGTCCACAGATATTATTTAAAAACATATGTCAGACCATAAACGGATAAAACGTCTGATATAACAGCAGATGAACTTGCGACTCCGACCAAAAGTGAAAAATGCGCACTCACCGGAAGCGCATAGATAATGCGCATATATATCCTCAAGGTATAATGGTCAATCCGGTGTACTTTTCCTCATGGTGCAGTCATCAAGCCGTTAAGGAAGCGTTTGAATCCACTGGTTTCGGGGATCCTCCTTAAGATTGGTGGGATAATCAGCCTGGATAAGGATCTCCAATTCCTCCGGATATGCCGGGTACTAACTGCTGCCTGTGGGCTTAAAAGCTCCAAATAGGAGCCACAAAAGAGGTGCCCATAGTGTAGTATATTGAATAACTTTTATTGGTAGTACCACAAGAGACAGATAGGGTATAGTGATGAGCAAATAAATATCACTATACCTCCATTAAAATGGCCGCCTGGGCTCCCTTGTAGCAAGTGTTGTCATGTGCTGTCTGGTTCCTCCTGAGGCCTTTTGTGCAATGGTACTTCTTCAGAGGGCGAACCGACGTCGGTTCTCCCTCTGAAGAAGTGCCATTGCACGAAAGGCCTCAGGAGGAACCAGACAGCACATGACAACACTTGCTAGAAGGAAGCCCAGGCGGCCATTTTAATGGAGGTATAGTGATATTTATTTGCTCATCGCTATACCCTATCTGTCTCTTGTGGTACTACCAATAAAAGTTATTCAATGTACTACACTATGGGCACCTCTTTTGTGGTTCCTATTTGGAGCTTTTAAGCCCACAGGCAGCAGTTAGTACCCAGCATATCCGGAGGAATTGGAGATCCTTATCCAGGCTGATTATCCCACCAATCTTAAGGAGGATCCCCGGAACCAGTGGATTCAAATGCTTCCTTAACGGCTTGATGACTGCACCATGAGGAAACGTACACCGGATTGACCATTATACCTTGAGGATATATATGCGCATTATCTATGCGCTTCCGGTGAGTGCGCATTTTTCACTTTTGGTCGGAGTCGCAAGTTCATCTGCTGTTATATCGGACGTTTTATCCGTTTATGGTCTGACATACGTTTTCAAATAATATCTGTGGACATATTGGCATACTTTATCTGTTTTATATGGATTTTTTAGCGCTACACCTCTACTATATATATTTATTACTGTTGAGTGTTTGGTACCTCTTGGTGTTTTAGCGGCTGTTTTTTAGGAGCGCTCACTTCTTACCAATTTTTTCTATTGTAAAATCTTGGATCAGAACCTTCTTCCCTTAGCCAGAACATTGAAGATTAGTCGTGGATGGGTCTTTCAGCATGACAATAACCAGGACTTTTTTTTCAGAGGGAACGTAGTTCCGGCACCTCCAGCACTGCATGTATGTAATGGCAAGGGGTGCTCGGTGTGCTGAAGGGCATATTGGTGCTTGCTGCTGGGGGATCCATTGTCAATGGAGGGGATCTATTTTTGCGTGGTGGTCTATTGCTGCTGGAGAGGGATATATTGTTGCTGGGAGATCAATTGTTGCTGGAAGGGATCTACTTTTGAGGGAGATCTATTGTTTGCTGATGGGAGATCTGTTGTTGCTGCTGGGGGTCTATTGCTGTGGTGGCATTTTGTTGCTGTGAGAATCTATTGTTGCTAGGGGGGAGGGGCTATTTTTGCTAGCTGCAGGGGATCTATTTTACTGCTTTCTTATAATTTGCAAATTAATACAAAATGATACTTGGCCCCGTATTCTCAAAAAAGGAGCTCTAATGGGAGGTGGGTAGGGGGTAGAACTAATGGACAGTGCTCAGAGGTGGCTATGAGGTGGAAATGGGGAGACTCAAAAGGGTGGGAGTTCCTGCACATATTCTCCGAGAAAAAAAGCCTTGACAATGACCCAAAACATACCACCAAGGCAACAAAGGAGTGGCTCAAAAAGAAACACATTAAGGTCATGGAGCAGCCTAGCCAGTCTCCAGACCTTAATCCTATTAAAAATTTATGGAGGGAGCTGAAACTTCGAGTTGCCAAGTGACAGCCAAGAAATCTTAAGGATTTAGAGAAGATCTATAACGAGTGGACCAAAATCCCACCTGAGATGTGTGCAAACCTGGTAACCCAACTACAAGAAACATCTTACCTCTGTGCTTGCCACCAAGCACTAAGTCATGTTTTATTTGGGGATCAAATACTTATTTTACTCACCAAACTGAAACTTAATTTATAACATTTGTATCACGTGTTTTATTTGGATTTTTGGTTGATATGCTGTCTTTATCGTTTAAAATACACCTATATTAAAAACTGTAAACACTGCATTTCTTTGTAAGTGGGCAAACGTACAAAATCTGCAGGAGATCACATCATTTTCTCCCACTGTATACAATACAAACAATAGTTTTGCCCCTGGGACTTTAAATGAGGCATGACATATAGCTGGGTTATTTATTATAAATTTATTGGAACAAAACGTGAATTTGTTAATACATATATCAGAGTACATACATTGAGAATAATAAATTGGTTCTTATATCTGACAAGCATCAACAAAAAGTTTACAATTCTGAAAAATAATCTACATTAGCACATGTTCCCAGCATGTGACGTCATTGTACCGAAAAGTAGTGCGAAAACGTGCACCACATCATCACGTTTTTTGTGGGATGTGGCCCTGGCACCATTTTTGCCTGCATGGACAGTGGACTTATATGGTTGGGACTAGGTCCCATTACCTATGGGCATACATGGTGTTGAAGGTTGCAGGCCTTGTTTGCCTTGCAACCACTGCCCTTTCACAGCCCACCACTCCAGTGAGCGCAGATACAGCATTGTACTGATACTGCATCCACGTAGGTAAGTATAATTGGGCAAAAATAAATCCCACACTTCTAACTTATGATTTTTCTTCTTTTTTGGTCTTTTTTTTTCACTTTTGATTTGTAGTTATTTATGTATTGTATAAAATTTAATTTGTGTTGCTGTAACTTATATTCTATATGTATTATGATGCAGATAGACCAGGTTCCGGTTTTACCTGACATTCCGCTACCTATGATCCAGCCAAATTATCGTCCTCTTCCTTCAATTGAACCTGTTCAGTTCCCACCTCACAAGAGGAAAGGTAACATAGAATAATGGTGTAGCTAAATGAAAATAAGTTTGCATTTGTGATGAGTATAAATGTATTATCGGGGTTTCTTTTCAGTGGGAGCGTAGGGGAACGCAGTTCATGCACCACCAGCACTGAATGAATGTATGTAATTGCAAGGGGTGTTGGGAGTGTGCTGGAGGGTCTGTTGATGCTGGGGGATCTACTTTCACTGGTGGGGGTATATTTTTGTGTGGGGGGTCTATTGTTGCTGAGTAGATCTATTGATGGGGGGGGCGACAATGTTGCTGGGAGGAATCTGCTGTTGAGGGGGAGGTCTACTGCTGCTGGGAGATCTGTTGTTGCTGCAGGGGTCTTTGGTTGCTGGGGTGGTATTTTGTTGCTGGGGGGGGGTCTGTTTTTGTGTGGGGAGGTCCTATGTTGCTGGGGTGGGGTCTATAGTTGCTGGGGGGTCTACTGATGCTGGGGTGGGCTCTATTGCTGCTCACTGCAGGGTACCTAATTTACTGTCTTTCTTGTTACAAACAAATTCCATACAGATTACAGAAAATGATAGTTGGTTCTGTGTTCTCTAAAAGGGGGGCGGTACTGAGAGGTGGGTCGAGGTGGAACCAAGGAACAGTGCCCAGAGGTGGGTAGGGGGTGGAACCAAGGAACAGTGCCCAGAGGTAGGGGGTAGGGGGTCAAAGATGGGAAGGGAACCAAGGAACAATGCCCAGAGGTGGGTAGGGGGTGGAACCAAGGAACAGTGCTCACGATGGGAAGGAGGTAGAACCAAGGAACATTGCTCAGAGGTGGGTAGGGGGTGGAAACAAGGAACAGTGCTCAGAGGTGGGTAGAGGATGGAACCAAGGAATGGTGCTCAAAGATGGGTAGGAGGTAGAACCAAGGAACGGGACTCAGAGGTGGGTAAGGTGCGGAGGCTAAAGGTGACTCAGGCGGGAGGAGTTCCTGCACCTATTCCCTGAGAAAAAATGCCCTGTGTATTGTAAATAAAAACCTTATTTCTGTATTTCTTCCTTTTTTAGCTCCACTTTTGTCTTTTACTGAAGAAGACGAGGGTGCTGGATTCACAGGCCGCAGATTAAACTCCAAAATGCAGGTGTATTCTGGATCTAAAACTGCCTATTTGCCTAAGATGATGTCCCTTTATGAACAGTGTATCCGTGTTCTGGCTAATAACATAGACTGTGAGTACTGTGGGAAGTTACTTATGATGTATTGGAGCATTATAGAGGGGTCTACGTACGGCTTTTTTGGAAACACAGATAATATAAGTCTGGGAAATTAATGTTTTGTTCTGAAGGCATGAGGGTGCCTTGAAAGAGTAACTTCAGGCAAAGCTTATACATTTTTGAAATGGCACCTTCAGCATCTAAAAATACCAATTATCCTGTTTAGCAACCTCATTGCACAGATGAAAAATTAGGTTTTTTTATCACTCGCTTTTTATCTTGCTTGTACCCATTTTAACTGTGGGCATGTGAAACTAGTGCTGGGTAATGTTACTCTTTCCCCACCCTTTGTTAAATGTGAAATCTCGTGCATGTGCACTAACCACACATAGTCTGTTTGAAGAAAAAAAAAAGTCCATCTAGTTCACATGCTGTGGGCTGGCCGCGCCTGTGCAATAAGCAAAATGCCTCCAGTCCTTTGTATACACGATGCTATAGCAGCAGCAGCAGAGGAAGTTCGCTGCTCTTGCTATATTATACTTTAGTATCTTCTGCAAACTCTCACCCTCATTCACTCGTCCTCTGCTCTCCTTCCCTCACTGAAAATCTCTTGAGAGAATAAAAAAATTTTGAAGACTTCTGGGATTAACCACCTCCTGTCCGGCCGTTGTATATAAATGGCCGGACAGTGGCAGTGCAGGGTCGGGTGGCCATTTATAAATGGCCTCCCTGCACCCTGTTTGTGCGCGCTCCTTGGTGCCCGCTGTGTCCTCCGGACACAGTGGAACACCGATTGTCGTACGAGACCTCTGTACGAGGTCCCGATCATGTGATCACTGATTGGCCAATCAGTGATCACATGCAGAGTAGTAAGCAAGATGTCACTTCTGACATCATGCTTACTATGTGTAAAATCTGTGAATGATCACAGAGGTCACATGGTACAAGGCTATTCACAACATCCTTGTACCATGTGACAAGCTGTGACCAATCACAGCTCACACAGTAGTTCTCAATGGCTGCAAGAATGCAGCCAGAGAGAAGGAGAAATGATTGCTTTTACATCCATAAAGGCTGTAAGTGTAAAAAAAAAAAAAAAATACTTCATCACCCCCCACAAGTAGTACAGTGTCACCATGGTGACACTGTACTGCTAGGGTGACAGTATGTAAAAACCCCCCCAAAAACCCTTAAATAATATAAAAAAAATAATGTAAAAAAAATGTTTAAAAATTATAATTTTTGGTTATAAACTAATTAGGGTTATTTTTTTTTTTTTTTTACTAAAAAGATAACGGAATAAATTTTGCCCAAGATTTATGATGAAAGTTTATTATTTGCAAAATTTTATAAGGAAAAACACTTTTTTTTTCAAAATTTTTGGACTTTTTCATTTACATAGCAAAAAAAAAAAAATCCCAGTGGTGAATAAATACCACCAAAATAAAGATTTATCTTTCTCAAAAAAAAAAGCTAAAAAATTCATATGGGTACAGTGTTGCATGACCGCGCAATTGTCATTCAAAGTGTGATAGCACTGAAAGCTGAAAATTGGCCTGGACAGGAATGGGGTAAAAGTGTCTGGACCTGAAGTGGTTAATGACAACAATATCCCAGGAGTGAACGGGACTAGAGCTTCCTAGGCAAATTACATAAGACTGGAATCACTGAAAAAATATTTAGAGACTGAAATTTTTAGTTTTTAATGCATTAATATTAAAGTATGAGGAGACAATTCAAATAGAAAATACTTAAACTGATGATCCCACTTTAATGCGGTGGTAAACCACACCAAGAAAAAAAAAGGGGCCCCACGCTGTTTAAGTCGTAATGTGCTAGTATGCAGTGCATACTAACACATTATGATAGACTTACCTGAAAACTAAGCGATCCAGTGACCTGCTGTTACGGGAACCGACACTTCCATCTTCAGTTGTCTTCCTTCCTGCATGGCCGAGCCGTAATGACATCACTCCACGCATGAGCACGGGAGACACGGCTACGGCACAGAACTCTAAAGGAACGACATGAGTATGCTGTTTCTTTAGAGTGCATGTGCCAGTGACATCACCACCTGCTGCTAAAGTAAATATCTCCTAAACGGTGCTAATCTAGATATTAACTGTACCAATAGGTAAACCTTGTTGTAGGCTTACCTATAGGTAAAAATCTACAATGTGACTTTACTACCAAAGTAGATGTGATGATCTGAGATCTTCACCTTCGCACTGCTTTCACAGCCACTCTGAACATCTGCTTATCTCTGTGATGAGTAGAAGTTACTGTAGCTGACATAGGCTCATGTATTAGCAGCCTAATAATGTATACATTTTCCACATAAACTGTTACACATTGCAAGCCTTTTCATTTCTCACTTTATATATTATTTTACACTTTCTTTTTCAGCTATCTATGAAGTAGGAGGTGTACCATATTCAGTGCTTGAGCCAGTTTTGGAGAAATGTACCCCAGAGCAGTTGTACCGGATTGAAGAATGTAATCATGTGAGTGTTTTCTTGAGTACATTTTAGATTATTCTATGCAAGCTAGTAATAGAGCACATAGAATAATGGGTATGGTGGAAGCTTTTTCTGAGCATAAAAAAATGTTCAATCAACAAAGGAAACAGAAGTCTGAAAGGAAGCAAACAATTATGTATGAGATGAACTTTGTATTTATTCTTGTGTTTTTCTTTTTTTTTTTTTTTTTTTTTTTTTTACAATGTCGGGGTAATTGATACATGCACACAAAGTGGAGAGGAGTGGATCACCAGGTGGATTTATTTAAATAGGCAGGTTAGAGCAACAAAAATGCCTTGAATATGATCTTCAGGTCCACTGTGTAAAGGACAAACCTAGCATAATTTTTATTCCTCAGAATTTTTTTCATCAATAAACTCTTTTCTACATTGCTGCTAGAGCTGGTCTCTTTCATTGCAGCTATCCAGCTTGGCTTTGGAGTGCCAAGCTCAGACCTTGATGGACTGGACATTGCAGGGATAGCCTGGGAGTGACTTTCAGGCATTGGGTTCCACATAGGGCACTCTCTAGCCTATGTTCTGGTAACACATTAGCTGCTGAATTTTTTCTAGGCTCAGAGTTGTTGGTATTATCTCAGTGCCTGCTCTGCATCTGAAGTCTCACTCCGTGACTAGGCTGGTTAGTTTGTGTCCTGATAGCTACCCCATTTACAATTATTAATCATTCCCTTTCAATGCTCTGCTTTCGGCCAGCTTCCAACACAGAAGGAATTTATGATATGGGACTGAGCACTGACATCATTCGAATGGGTGCTGTGTTGTGCTTGCACTCTTTCCTGCCATACAGCTTCAAGGAAGCATCTCCCCACTTGCTCTCATGTGCAAAGAACCTGTGTGTGTGTTGAACTCCGATCTTCTGTTTATTCCTGCTGCCTGCCTACAGTTACTTAGGTCTTCTCTGGCCATCTGATCCTCATCTGCTACCAGATGGTTTGTTTTGTGAGAACTTGAGGTTTTTCTCCATACTATGAGTCTTAACCACTTGCCCTGCGGAGGATTTACCCCCTTCCTTACCAGGTCATTTTTTACTATTCGGGCTGCTCTATTTCAGTTGGTAATTGCGTGGTCATGTCCCCCTTTTTTTTTTCTTTTTTGTCACACAAATAGAGATTTCTTTTGGTGGTATTTGATTGCCACTAGGATTTTTCTTTTTTGTGATATAAATGAAAAATTTAGAAAAAAAAACTGACATTTTCTACTTTCTGTTATAAAAAGTATCCAATAAACTCACATTTTAGTCATAAATTCAGGCCAAAATGTGTTCTGCTACATGTCTTTGGCAATAAAAAAAAATCCCAATACATGTATATTTATTGGTTTGTGAAAGTTTTATAGTGTCTGTAAACTATGGTGTGTATATTGGAATTTACGCAGCTTTTACTTTGACTTTCACATTTGTTGAGGTGCTAAAATGCCAGGGCAGTGCAACCCCCCCCCCCCCCCAATGACGCCTTTTTGGAAATTAGACACCCCAAGGAATTTGCTGAGAGGCATGATGTTGCATCCATGGAAGATTTTGTTTTGCCAACATTTTTTGGAAAATTAGAAAACTTTTTTTTTTTTTTTTACACAAAGTTGTCACTTAAATGATATTACTCACACATGCCATAGGTATATGTGGAAGCACACCCCAGAACACATTCTGCTACTTCTCCCAAGTATGGAGATACCACATGTGAGGGACATTTTGGCAGCCCAGAAAGAATACATTTTTGTTTTCTTTCTTTTCCAAAAATGACGATCTGCAAAATACTCACCATGGCCCTTACCAAATTCCTTGGAGTGTCTATGTTTCAAAAAGGGGTCATGTGGGGAAGGGGGAGGGGGTGCTTCTACTATGCTGGCATTTCAGAGCCAACATTAGAAGCTTATGCCACACATCACTCACTCTAACCACTTGAAAACCAAGCCTTTTCTAACACTTTTTCTTTCCTTACTGTTTTTTTTTTTCTTTTTACACTGTGCCTTAACTTTTTTTTTTTTTTTTTTCTTCTTGGATCACTTTTATTATCACTGGGAATGTGAATATCCCTCATGATAGCAATAAGCAGTGACAGGTACCCTTTTTTTTTTTTTTTTTTTAGAAATCTGGGGTGTAATAGACTCTAGATCTCTCCCTTAAACATCTGATCACACCAAGATCGGTGTGGTCAGATGCTTTCCAAATTTTAAAATGGCGCTGTTTATATCCAACAAAATGAGTGCTTATAGCTTCTGGTTTCCTAGACTATAGAGATGATTGGAGCTATTCTGGTCTAGTCGGCGGAACTGCTGGCTGCATTCCCAGGTTCTCTCCCCCTGGATGGGAGAGCCTGAGAAAGCTGCGGAGGAGGGGGGACATGGTGGGGAACGTCCCTTCCCGCTGCTTGTAAAAGCGATCTATTGATTGATTAGCCTCTAGGATTGCTTTTACATGAAAGCTGACCACCAGCAGAAAAAAATGATACCAGGATGATGCCTGTAGCTGCAGGTATAACCACTCAGTCCACTCAGTCCAGCAACGTACCAGTACATTTTTTGTTGGGCATACAGTCATGGCCGAAATTGTTGGCACCCTTGATATTTCTCCAGGAAATCATGTATTTCTCACGAAACGTATTGCATTAACACATGTTTTGCTATACACATGTTTATTCCCTTTGTGTGTATTGGGACAAAACAAAAAAGGGAGGAAAGAAAGCAAATTCGACATAATGTCACACAAACCTCCAAAAATGGGCTGGACAAAAGTATTGGCACCCTTTCACAACTGCGGATAAAATAAGAATGTTACAAGCATGTGATGCTCCTGTAAACTCACCTGGGGCAAGTAACAGGTGTGGGCAATATAGAAATCACACCTGAAAGCAGATAAAAAGGAGAGACGTTCACTTAACCTTTGCATTGTGTGTCTGTCTGTGCCACACTAAGCATGGACAACAGAAAGAGGAGACGAGAACTGTCTGAGGACCTGAGAACCAAAATTGTGGCAAAATATCAACAATCTCAAGGTTACAAGTCCATCTCCAGAGAACTAGATTTGCCTTTGTCCACAGTGCGCAACATTATCAAGAAGTTTGCAACCCATGGCACTGTAGCTAATCTCCCTGGTCGTGGACGGATGAGGAAAATTGATGAAAGATTGCAACGCAGAATAGTCCGGATGGTGGATAAGCAGCCCCAAACATGTTCCAAAGACATTCAAGCTGTCCTGCAGGCTCAGGGAGCATCAGTGTCAGCGCGAACTATCCGTCGACATTTAAATGAAATGAAACGCTATGGCAGGAGACCCAGGAGGACCCCACTGCTGACACAGAGACATAAAAAAGCAAGACTACAGTTTGCCAAAATGTACTTGAGTAAGCCAAAAGCCTTCTGGGAAAACGTCTTGTGGACAGATGAGACCAAGATAGAGCTTTTCGGTAAAGCACATCATTCTACTGTTTACCGAAAACGGAATGAGGCCTACAAAGAACAAAACACAGTACCTACGGTAAAATATGGTGGAGGTTCAATGATGTTTTTGGGGTTGTTTTGCTGCCTCTGGCACTGGGTGCCTTGACTGTGTGCAAGGCATCATGAAATCTGAGGATTACCAAAGGATTTTGGGTCGCACTGTAGGGCCCAGTGTCAGAAAGCTGGGTTTGCGTCCAAGATCCTGGGTCTTCCAGCAGGACAATGACCCCAAACATACGTCAAAAAGCACTCAGAAATGGATGGCAAAGAAGCGCTGGAGAGTTCTGAAGTGGCCAGCAATGAGCCCAGATCTAAATCCCATTGAACACTGTGGAGAGATCTTAAAATTGCTGTTGGGAAAAGGTGTCCTTCCAATAAGAGAGACCTGGAGCTGTTTGCAAAGGAAGAGTGGTCCAAAATTCCGGGTGAGAGGTGTCAGAAGCTTATTGATGGTTATAGGAAGCGACTGATTTCAGTTATGTTTTCCAAAGGGTGTGCAACCAAATATTAAGTTAAGGGTGCCAATACTTTTGTCCAGCCCATTTTTGGGGTTTTGTGTGACATTATGTCATATTTGCTTTTCTGCCTCTGTTTTATATTTGTTCCAATACATACAAAGGGAATAAACATGTGTATAGCAAAACATGTGTTAATGCAATACCTTTTTTGTGTGAAATACTTGATTTTCAGGAAAAATATCAAGGGTGCCAACAATTTCGGCCATGACTGTATATGTAACAGCAGAGAACACAGGCATATGATTAATCGGGTCTGTGAAGGGCCCCCCTGCGTTGGTACAGGCAGAGCGACATACCGGTACGTCACTTTGCCTGCAGCTGTTGTCCATCCGCAGTAAACTTACTGTGGGCAGTTGGCAAGTGGTTAAAGTGGTTGTAAACCCTTACATGTACCCAGTGAAGTGACTGGCCTCAGGTGATATACAGAGATTAAACAAATCCTCCTACATAAATTGAACCTGTCTATCTGTATTTTCTCTACATCCACACAGTGCAGAATTTACACAAGCTCTCTCACTTCTGAAAAGCAGGGGGTGGGGAGATGAATTTTCAGTCGGTGAGGAGAGTTCTGAGAGCTGATTGGAGGGATGGGACACAGCACCTCCAAACAGCACAGAGGAACAGAGCTGAAGCTGTCAATCACAGGCTGTGTCCTCCATTGTGTCAACATTTTTCTCTTGGTGTCAGGAAAACTCCTCAGAAGTGATTTAAGCTGATAGCAGAAAAATGAGGCAGCAGACATAAATGCACTTGCTAAGTGCACACTATAGAAGGATATGCTTTGATCATATTCCATGTCTGAGGTTTACAACCAATTTAAAGCCCAAATCCGGGAAACTTAAAAATTATCCTGTAATGCAATGCTGGATGCAATAACTAAAAGCAAGTCATATACACACAATAGTCACACACAGGTACGTTTTAACCAGCATTTACACCATTAATTATTCTAAGCATGTGAAAGACCCACTACCTGATGAACACCTGCCCTGGCACATCATAGCATTCACTCGGCACTCAAAGAAATAACAGCATCCAACTGCAATATTCTTGCACTGTCAAAACCTCCACTTTTTATTATGACACAACACACAGGAGGATATATCTTATAGTCATCACAATCTGCATAATAACGCACACCAATAATAATGTGAGCATTACAGCATGAAATAGACACATAATTTGACAGCATCACAGCATAGAATTAATACATTACCAAAGCTATGGGAAGACGGGAAGGAACAGGCCCCATCGGAAACACAATGCACAAGGGGTCGCGGGGAAGCCGTAAATGTGACTAATCGATGAGCCCATATAGGCTTGGCTGCATAGGAAGGCTGCTCCCAATTGATCCTACTTAAGCTCCTTGTTTTTAAACCCTTTTTTTGCCAGCTTTCCCGAAGTGGGCGGGCGCCACACCCACTCTAGGAGGAGCTAGTAGAAAAGTTCCTTGAGGATAACAGAGTCAAGCTCAGCCACTACACTGAACAAACAACGTTATCTAAGAATAGCACACATTTGCTTCAAATCAGCTTCCTATCTACCCTAAACTTAAAGATATTTAACTTCTCAAACAAGTAGACCTCTTTAATTGCACAAACAAGTTCTTATCTAATTTAAGCAGTCGTAACACAAACACGTTCTATCCCAGAAACACTCCTTATTTGCTTTAAGCAGTCTAATATCTTGTGACTCTGTTACTTGGGCCTAGAGAAATGACAGCAATGTCTCATGCTCCTGGCATCTGGGCAACGGTGATTCATTGTAAAAATTACCCAAGAAACAAAGGGTCCAAGGCCAACACATTTCATAGGCAATACAGATCCCTTTCAGTCTGGCTGTGCCCATACTGCAAGGGTTAACTGCTTGTTTAGTTTAGGGAAGAGTTCTTTCGCACTTTAACTTACTTGATCCTTTGCTTCCCCGGCAGATGCGCTTCCCTATGCTTCAGTGGTGGACTGGCCCTTTGTAACCATGTCAAGTGCAGGGCTATTGGCCCTGCATTGGTCTGCAGGGACCAGTCTAGCAATGTGAAGGATCGGGTAAATAGACCCTTTTTTCTGTATCCCCTAGACCTAAAGAAGCTATTAAACCTTGCAGTGCAGGGTCAAGGGGGCAAGGTGTAGTCCTGAAAGAAAGCAAAAAATGGCGCACTCTCCTCATGCATTACCGTGATAAAAAAGGATTTATTAAAAATTACAAAAGTATATACTCACAAACCAAGGGTCATGTAAACAAACCAGAAACCAAATGTGACAGTCCCAGAAAATAGTGGCCCTGCAACAGGCTATGCGAACGCATTTCGGGAGTCGAACTCCCTTCCTCAGAGCTGAAACCCCTAGACATGTTGGAAGCCTATATATAGGAGAGCAAAATGTAGTAAGAGGTCAACTGAGCAAAACATGTAAGAGGTCAAAAAGACAACACCCCCTCCAAGTGACCACCCAGCTGATAGGTCAGCCAGTGGGGAGGAAAGGGATAATGTGACCATGGTGCCAGTCATCTGTGACCAAATCGACTGCCATAAAAAGTTCATAATGCTGTTAGTAATGAGGATATCAAATTATCAATATAGGTATATGAAAATGGAGAGAACCAGGAAGGACTTACTGTAACGCCAAGTTGTGGGCTGGAAAAACATAAATGAGAGTCAGTGTAAATGGCGTCCTCCACGTGTGTACAGACGCCGGGAGCTCAAGCTGTATATTGGCTGTCCCTCTACATGGATGTGTAATCGCTGTTAATGCGCATGCGTGCTGTGCGGTGTTGCTAGCCGCGTACTGGAAGTCCTGGAGCTGGCAGCACCAGCGGTCTCTATGGAAAGAGTGGTACAACATGCTGAGAGACCAAACTGACAGGCTCTTCACACTATGATGATGTAGTATTATAAAGTGTAGGTGTTAATGAAGGGGGTAACAGGACATGGGGAAAGCAAAAACTAGAGAATATTGGCCAGTCCCGGCCAATTCTGACATTCCTCTCCTACATGTAAAATACTTTTTTTTTTTGCTAGAAAGCTGTTTAGAACCCCCAAACATTATACATTGTGCAAAAAAATTAAAGGAACACTTTTTAATCAGAGTATAACATCAAGTCCGTTAAATTCCTGGGATATTGATCTGGTCAGTTAAGTAGCAGAGGGGGTTGTTAATCAGTTTCAGCTTCTTTTGGTCTTAATGAAATTAACAACAGGTGCATTAGATGGGCAACAATGAGACGACCCCCCAAAACAGGAATGGTTTTACAGGTGGAGGCCACTGACATTTTTTTCCCTACTCATCTTTTATGACTGTTTTTCTCTAGTTTTTGCATTTGGCTAGGGTCAGTGTCACTACTGGTAGCATGAGGCAATACCCTTCAGAGGTTGCACAGGCAGTCCAACTCCTCCAGGACGGCACATCAATACGTGCCATTGCCAGAAGGTTTGCTGCGTCTCCCAGCACAGTCTCAAGAGCATGGAGGAGATTCCAGGAGACAGGAAGTTACTCTAGGAGAGCTGGACAGGGCCGCAGACGGTCCTTAACCCATCAGCAGGACCAGTATCTGCTCCTCTGTGCAAGGAGGAACAGGATGAGCACTGCCAGAGCCCTACAAAATGACCACCAGCAGGCCACTGGTGTCTCTGACTTGTTTCTGACCAAACAATCAGAAACAGACTTCATGAGGGTGGCCTGAGGGCCCGATGTCCTCTAGTGGGCTCTGTGCTCACTGCCCAGCACCATAGAGGTCGATTGGCATTTGCCATTGAACACCAGAAATGGCAGGTCCGCCACTGGCGCCCTGTGCTTTTCATAGATGAGAGCAGGTTCACCCTGAGCACATGTGACAGATGTGACAGGGTCTGGAGAAGCCATGGAGAATGTTATACTGCCTGTAACATCATTCAACATGACTGTTTTGGTGGTGGGTCAGTGATGGTCTGGGGAGGCATATCCATGGAGGGACGCACAGACCTCTACAGGCTAGACAGTGGTACCCTGACTGCCATTATGGACCTATTGTCAGACCCTACACTGGTGCAGTGGGTCCTGGGTTCCTCCTGATGCACGACAGTGCCCGGCCTCATGTGGCGAGAGTATGCAGGCAGTTCTTAGAGGATGAAGAAATTGATACCATTGAATGGCCCTCACACTCGCCTGACCTAAATCCAATAGAACACCTCTGGGATATCATGTTTTGGTCCATCCAATGCCGCCAGGTTGCACCTCAGACTGTCCAGGAGCTCAGTGATGCCCTGGTTCAGATCTGGGACGATATACCCCAGGACACCATTGTCGTCTCATTCGGAGCATGCCCCTGACGTTGTCAGGCATGCATACAAGCACTAGCCTGCTGCATCATTTTTTCACTTTGATTTTTGGGGTGTCTTTGAATTCAGTCCACTTTAGGTTGATAACATTTATTTCCATCAAACGATGGGGTATCCTTACGTACCCAATTTATCCAGACCCTAGAAAATGGCGCATGTTGCAAAATTTTATGTCACACAGTATTTGTGTAGCGGTTTTTCAAATGCAAATTTTTTTAGAGAGAATACACTTTAATGAATTTTAATGCACAAAAAACACAACATATCCAATTTTTTTGGTAAAATATAAAAGATGTTACAATGCGTAAATAAATATATACTTGGTTTTTTTTTGTTTTTTTTTTTTTTTTTTTGTGCTTCTGTAAGCTGACTCTATTTTTTGTAGGTATTAGTGGAAGACACAGATCAGCTCTGGAAGAATCATTGTCAGCGAGACTTCAAAAAAGAGACTCCATCAGAATATGAGTCTTGGAGAGAACTGTACCTTCGGTTGCATGAGGCTAGAGATAGGAGGCTTCAAACTTTGACTGAAAACATTCGCTCTGCCCATGCAAATAAACCAAAAGGTAACATAGCTTATTATAAACTACTGCATTTAGATTTTTGTAGTTTTGCTACAGCAGTTAACACTTTGCCTCTTTTACTGAATAAGAAGATGGCAAAAGTGACAGGTCAGAAACCAGTGACAGCTTCGGAGTCCAGGAAGAGCCTTTCATAAACAACAAACCTCATGCTCTTAGCAAAAGCCTGTATCACAGTTCTGTAAGGATAACTGGACTTCCAAAGTCCTCTGATTCAGTGAAGGTGCGTCCCCTCTTATGTGTTGGCCTTTGTGGCTGCCTACGCTCAGGAAGCCAGACAACTCTGTTGCATTGTGATGTGAAGAGGCTACGAGTTAGAGCTACTCGCTTCCCCCTCCATGCTTTATGTGCTCAAGGGTATCTTTTGAAATAAGAACATTATTCATTGTGGCTGCTGTCCCAAGGAGCCATTTCACATGTACCAGAGGGAAGATGCCTCACCACCGTTTCTATTCCAACCTGTTCATGGTTCCCAAGCCAAATGGTCTGGCTTTTCTGGACCTCAAGAACAAGTTCCTGAAAGTCCAGAAGTTCAGGATGGAATCCACCTGATTGTCGATCACTTCACTTTATTAAGGAGACTTCCTGGCGTTAGTGGATATCAAGGATGCCCACTTACATATCCCTATTTTTTGGCCTTGCCAGTGGTTTATGTGATTCTTGGTGGAGGATTGCCACTACCAGTTTGCCTTTCAGCCTGTGTAAAGTGCCCGGGGAGTTTACCAAAGCATTGACTCCGATTCTGGGATTGTTGAGGACCCAGGATATCCCCATTGTGTTGTACCTGGAGGACATGCTCCTCGGGTAACAATGTGCTCAGAAAGTGACATTAAATGTCCAGGAGACGGTACAGGTCCCGGAAAGGTTTGGTTGAGTACTTTAACTTCAGAAGTCAGTCTCGGTTCCGACTTAACATCTGGAATACTTGGGCTTAAGCCTGGTACACGCATGGGACGAAATTCAGCAGGAAACATCCGACTTTGGTCTGTCTATAGAGCTTTCTGTTCTACAGAAGATGGTCTAATGACTGCTTCTGTCAAACGGGCATGCTGAAAAATGCATTTGATCAGCCCTTGCAGCGATCTGTTCTTGGGGTATTCGATGTACGATGGTGCTGAGGAAGATAGTAGCTGCCTTCAACTTAATGTCATGTCGGTATGGGACAAACATCAGAAGTCTTTGGATCCTTCAATGCATGTGACTCCCAAGACCAGGTCGGCTCTGGAACAATGGATATCATTGCAGATGCTGGATACCTGGACATCCATCCTTCCAATCAAGTGAAGGTCTTGACGATAGACGCTAGCCTGTCGGGCAGCGGAAAGTGTTCTGAGGAACCTCTTGGTTCAGGGAATGTGGTTGTCAAAGCAGAAGTTGCCGATCAACATCCTGGAAAGTTAGTCGATTTGGCTGGCTCTGCCACAGTGGTCTGTCTGCCTTCGGAGTGTCTCTCAGGGTGCAGTCAGACAATGCCACAAATGTGGAATAAATTGACCATGAAGGAGGGAGACGTTTCTCTGCTCAGGATGAAGTGGGCCTGATCTTGTCTTGGGCAGAACACGTGTTCCAGCTCTCTCCACTGTACACATTTCCAGTATGAAAAATTGGCAGGTGGACTTTCTCAGCCAACAGCAGTTGAATCTAGGAGAATCCTTCACCTGAAGATATTCAAAGATTTGTCCGTGGTGGGGAACACCAAATGAGCTGTGGGCTCTTACGGATTGGTCAGAATTGCTGTCAAAGGGTCCAGTCTTCCTTCCTACTTTACAGTCACTGACTTTAAAAGCCATGTCATGCTTCAAAGTCCACATCCTGGGGAATACGGGTGTTTCTAACTCTGTGATCCCTACCATTCTTAAGGCAAGAATGTTGGTTTCCAGCAATGCGGTTCAGACCTATCGCATCTTATTTATTAGTAAAATCATTTGTTGGGATTCACACAGATTGTTCCGCTTATGCAGCCCCTGTTGTCTCTGCAGAACCTTAACTTTGACTTTGTCTGTTTTGGCAGATTTCTCCTTTTTGTAGGTTCTCGTAGTTGGCTGCGCTTTTTTTGTAAGGAGTCCTTTTTGGTTCTTCCCCCAAGTGGTGTTGAGGCCTCAGTCCTCTTTCCTACCAAAAATGGTTTCTTTGCTCCACCTCAATCAGGACATTGTGTTGCCATCTTTGTGTCGCAATCCTAAGCATCCTAAGTAAAAGGTGTTTCATTCTTTGGATTTTCTTCAAGCTGTTTGCATTTATCTGAAGTCTACAGCTTTGTTCCGACAGTCTGATTCCCTGTTGATTGTGCTTGAGGGTGCTTACAAGGCTCCGGCTGCTTCTCAATCCATGATTTCTAGGTGGATTTATTAGCTGGTTTCTTTTTTTATGCTTTCCTTATTTAAGGAATTTCTTTTTTCGAACAAAAAATTACAATCCACAACAAAGTATAAACCACCTCTCATTGGATGTGATAACAGAAATACAACATCCTTAGACAAATATAAGGCACATATCCATATTACATCATTATCAAGGGATCAAATATAAGGGTACTATCCTTTTCAACAATAGAAGCAACTCTGAGGTAACAAAGACCACATACATGACCACGGTAGCTAACCGTGAAAGAGCCACTACTCCTGACTTCTCATTGTGACAGCCCAGTGTCATCTGGTGAACACACATTTTTTGAGGAAAAGAGGAAGAAAAAAGGTGGTGTGTCTGTTACCTTTTTTAGAGCAATAGTCAAGCTCTCCATTTGCCAGATATCCTCAGTCTTATGTGACTACTGTGCCAAGGTGTGTAGTGTAAAATAAAGTGTGAGTTTATGGTGCAGGAGTGTCCGTAAACTTCTGCATGTAGCATATCTCCCCGATCCGTTGTCTGATATAGATGGAGTACATTTGGTGTAGTGTCACAGATATATGGTACCACTTTGTGATAATGTTATAGTCAAATTCTTGGTATTTATTACTGATGGATGATTTGTAAGAGAGGATTAAGATTTAGAACTCGTTGCAGGAGACAGCTCAATTTGAAATTCCCTTATACATATATTCTGGAATTTGGGTGTTTAGTGAGAATATTCGATGAGCAGTAGTTTGTAGGTAAAGGAGAAAATGAGGGAATCACACCTAAGTGTCCTCAGCCATTGAATGCCATTCATCCAACTCGAGTTTCCTGGAGGTCTGTTTTCAATTTCTGTATGAATCCTAGTTCAGAACTCAAAATTTCAAGTCCTGAGCTACTAGCCAGAACTTAAGAGTTAGTTGCCACCATTTGCCCACACCCAACCCCTACCCTACCCCTATTTCCACTCACCAAATGTGAGCAGACAAATGGAAATTTTGAGGCCTATCCTAGTTTATCCGAGGCCCCAGTTTAAAAATAGTGTACATTTCTGAAATATGACTTTGGATTTTGTTGAATCTATGAAATAACTGTTCCATAGAGGACATGGAGACAATGTTGGATCTGCGAGGCGGGGATTGCAAGAAGTGTGTAATCTGTAAAATTCAGATTCAGGCATATTGTGTTTCTCTATCAAAGTTTACTTTGACAGGATTCCCCTGTGATCACAAAGATCAGTTATACGTATAAGACTTTTGTTAGTCCACCATTAAAGTGTTACTAAACCCACAACAGTAAAATCAGTCTGTATATGCAGTAAAGCATGCTAGTTATACTCGCTGTGGAACCTAAGGGGTAATCCATTATGTAAAAAGGCCGTTTTGATACTTTCTTCTCTGCCCCTCCTCTTGTTCAAATGTCCACATCTTATCTCCTGATAAGACAGACTGAACCCGTAGCCCTTCTGCACATGCTCAGTTTAGTGTGTATTGCTAGAGAGGTTTTTTTTTTCTTGGGAGAGTGCTTGTGATCAGCACAGGCCAATCACCACTGTCCAGACAGAGGTCAGGGGTTTTGCATCCTCTTAGAGCAGAAAGAAAACTCCTCCTACAAGCTTTAACCAGTGCTCAACTGAAGTCACAAGACTGCTGTAACTGCTGATGAGAAAAGGTATTTACCAGTTTTATACTTATTAAAATAATTGCACTTCCGTATTCTGTGTACTGTGGGAGACCAGATGGAGTGAATGCAGGGTCCTGGTTTTAGTAACACTTTAAAATACGCTGGCGGTGAGGCCCAGGGGTGAACTTCTTATTGCAAAGTATTGGGGCCAATGGACAATGGGAAGATTTGAAATTGTGAGATTTAGAGACTCTGTCCCAGATACCTAGTGTGAAGGAAAGGGAAAGGGCATAGAATCAAGGGCCTTTCCTTCACCGGCAATTGTAGGATGTGAGAAATTGGTCTAGATTAACAGGAACAGGATTCCACTTAAATCCATAGCTGATGAGGCCTACAATAATTAAATTTAATTGGCTGTGCCAATTGGGCAGCATACAAATACTTCAAGTGAGTCTGGAACCCCCAATCCTCCTGTCCGTTTTGGAGTAAATAATGTTAGCTTGTTCACCCTAGGCCTCTAACGTGGAAGATAAAATACAAGGCCCATGGCCTAAAACATCAGGCAAGTTGTATAGCAAAGATCGCGTTCTGCAGTGGGTGATAGCACTTTCCTGGGTCCCCACCCTGGATGGCAGCCGTGAGGTTGTCCTCAACATACAGTAGGGGCAAGGTCACTAGAGTAGCACATGTGTCCACCCTGGCTAAAGGCCAAAATTGCAAAAGAGGCCAGAGGAAGGGCCAATAAATAATAACTATTAAATCTATGTAGCTCGACTGTTAGTCTAATAGAGCTATGACTGAACCAGTAGTCTGTGACTGTACAGGGCCAAGTCCGCAAAATCTAGACAGGTTCACCGAACAATGATTAATCTTGCCGATTCCTGGCTGCCAACATCATCTTTTCTTTGATTCTGTGGTAATGCAGTTTGACGATGACGCCTCGAGGCAGGCCATCTGACCTGGGAGCGGTCAGGGCCCTATGAATTTTGTCAACTTCCAGTTGGTGGGGTAAAATATCTGGAACGAGATCCTTCATCAGGGAGTGGATCGCCCCCTCCAGGTCGGTGTGCGTTTCCAGGAGGCCCCTTAGCAGCGGGACCTGTTCTTTAAATGCTCAATTTTGGCATAGGCCTCATCCAATTTATTCTGTAGCTCCAAGATCAAGCTAGTATTCTGATTCACTCTAGCAACTGTGCCATCTACTTTGGATTCATGGTATCCAGACCTTCCCCAATACTCTGTATGTCCCTTTTTAAGATTAGCAGTAATGATGGAGCATGCTTTTGAGAGCTCTTGCTGCAACTGTGTAGAAAAACAGGTGGCAGGCACAGCGTCTCCCGAGTAGAGAGCTGGCGGTGAAGCACGACTAGGCTGACTAAAAGCTAATTCAACCAATTCGGCCATGTTCCTGTCCATGGAGGAAGCTGGAGTGGCTACAGGTCCCTGGGAGCCCAGAGGAGTCACTGGGGATGGAGGGAGGGAGAGAGAAGTACTCGCTCTACGGTCCTGCATCCAGGTCAGCTGACGACTGAGAGGAAAAGGGATTTTGCTCTGCTGCTGTCTCAATGGTGGCCTGAGGTGAGTGGGCTGGGTCACCTCCCAGCTGCTGCATGGATCTCATGTCCGGCGCCATCTTGGATGTGTGTGACTGCCCGGGGGGGGGGGGGGGGGGGGCACTCCCCAGTGATTACCCTGCTTGTTCGGCCTTTTTATGAGCTGCCCTGAAACCCGACTACATCTCCCTCTCCAGGTGCTCTGGGGCTCTATGATGGCTTCCACCCTCCCAGCTCTCCAAATTCCTGCGGTCTGCTGGTGGTGTGCGTAGCTCGCTCAGGACGTGTCCAGTCGGGTCCATGTGCATGCACACTGCAAGTTTTGTTTAATTATATTGCATCTGCCCATCCAAGAAAACGTTTATCTGGACCAACTTGGCAGAGTCTTGTCAGGTCATTCAGTAAAGGTCTAATGGTATCCCCAGGTAATGAATGTGGAAAAAAAATTCCATTTAAAGATAAAGTTGGTTTTGGGCCTTTGCAGCACCACACCAGACAGGATTAAATTTAAAGCCTTCGATTTCTGATAATTTGTGAAATTTGATAGTTCCTCATAGCGGTGGAACTCAGTAAGCAGGTTTGGAGCAGTGTTATCTGACTGAAGATGGCAGCATAACCAAAGTAGTTGTGAATATGAAGTCCTTTGTGTCCTGTAATGTTCTACACAAAGAGGATTTTACATGTAAACAAAAATTCAAATTTTTTTAATCAACCTAGGTGACACACATACATAGGTGTCCACAATCCTTTAACCCAGTGTCTCACAGTACTACATACATACACAATGCAGTATTATAATTCTCACAGTGATTTTGGTGGCAGTCAAAATGTCCCATGTATTTTTTTTCTGAATATAGTACGACAAGCAAAAATGGCCTTTGTAAATACGGAGGTGAAACCCCCACGAGATGTGCGCAGAAGACAAGAAAAGTTTGGAACTGGAGCAGCAGCTGTCAATGAGAAGATCAGGTATGGGGTAAACCATTTAGAAGATGAGATGTATTCCCACAGCATGACACAAGTTTCTTTGCAGCGAATCTACGTGGGGGTTTCTTCAGCCCCATTCTTCATGGGCAAGGCTCCGATAGTCAGCAGGCTTGCGCACTTGCAGAGGTCTCAATAAAAGTCAAATTCCTGACCATGATATGTTTATTGCACTTTAGGGTTAAGCCATTTACTCCAGTTGTTAGCAGCAGCAGCAGCAGCAGCAGCAGTGGTAGTAGTAGTAGTAGTAGTAGTAACCATGTGTCCTCTGAGGAGTCGCACTCATATGAAGGACCCAGCACCAGCTGTACTGTGCCACCACCAAGCAGTGTTCAGTCTGGACAATCATGATCCACGGAAACCACAAGTCAAGAGTAAGTTCCTGTGAGATAAATCAAATCTTACATATACATTATTCTTTTATTCTTTCTTCTTTTATCATTTAGTTTAAGGGTGTTGTGGAAGATTTCTATAAAAAAACAAAGTACTGCTTAATCAAATCTATCTCTCCTGCTCATTTACATTTGTAGATTTGCTTTGATTTCTTTTCAGCTGTTTTTTTTTTTTGTTGGATTGTTTAACTCTTTTTTTGTGTTTTTATTGTACCAATTTCTTTTCTTTTGTTTTTCAGAAGTTGCTCCAATGATGGCCAAAACAATATAAAAGCTTTCAAGAACCGGTTTTCTCGGCGATAAAGTACAGGGGGAAAAAATGAACTTTGGTGTTGTGATGGGGGAGGGATTACGCAGCATAGGGGGCTATTTTGCTTTTATAAGATGGAGCTCCTGGAACAGTGCTTCCCTCTACCCTACCTTTTCCTGTCCCCAGTTGCCGAATATTTTACGTCTTGGTGACACTGTCATGTTTTACTACACGTTTCATTCGTCATATGTATAGTTCTGCAGAGTATCCAGTTATTCCATTTTATTGACTCATGTTTAAACAGCGACTTGTCCCCTCCTTTGATGTGCAGAGCATAGCAATAGCTCCTGTTATCTGGATTTTTTCACTCTTGGGCTTTACAAAGAGGGTGCAAAGAGCGGTTTTATGTGCAGTATCATGTGAAATTCATTAGCGTATCCACTAAAAGCTGAGGATATCTTGTTGCTGTGGGTTACTGCATATCATTCCCCAATGGCCTTCGATATAATCTCATCTGTGATTGCAAACTGCATTACTGTATTTGCAAGATATCCACATGTGGGACATTAATGTCAAATGTTTATTGGCAATGTCACTTCAATCAAGTCTATAATCCCATTACGATAACTCATTTAAAGTCAGTTTTTGCACTAATTAAAAAAAAAGATTTCAAATCTTTTGAACTGTTAAATCTGTTTGAAATTTGATCATCCCTGTAGATGACTTGACCTATATCTTAAGTTCCACTAATTTTGGAAACAAATGTAGCTCTTTTTTTCAAATTTTTCCAGATACCCATGTACCGAGCATTCTTGTCATGAAACTGATGTTTCAGTGCTGCAGTGTCATGCAATGATGAGAATTATTTTGCAGAGACATTTTCAGTGACATAGGATTTTTTGACATACTTCCAGTACATACAGTTGTATGAAAAGTTTGTGAACCCTTAGAAAGTTCCTATATTTTGGAATGAATGGATCTTAAAAATATATTGTGATTTTTAATTACAGACCTCTTATGTGTTTAAAAAAAAAAAAACAAAACAAAAAAACCCACAAAGCATTTTACATGTAATATCATTAAAGGGGTGGTTTCAATAAATAGATTAAAGCGATTCCGCCTCTTTAAAGAAAAATTTGATTTGTCAGCAGCTTTTTTTTTTTTTTTTTCCTGAATACAGACACCATGGAGCAGATACCTGGAGCAGCTTTAAGTGCCTGTGCTGTGGCCAGATGCTAGGCTGTTCTGACTGGGCAAAGCTTGCCTGCCGTTGGAACAACCCATCATAGTGATGGGTCAGTCTGCATGAGTCACTTCTGAATTTTTTCCTGACACCTCAGCCTGAGCTTTCCTGAGCTTGTATGCCTGTGTAAAGAGGGGTGTGCCTCTTCCCTCCAATCAGCTCTGGTATCAGGGTGCTTTGTGCTCTAGCTCTGCAGTGTGTGTGACAGATCACTGCCCCCTGCTGCTAGAGGTGAGGAAAAAAATCCTTTTGATCTGTGTGTTTTAAGAACAGTCCACAAAAGAAATGTCTGCAGATAATCAGACACAACGTATGTCGAAGGATTTGTATCATCTCTGTATCATCTGAGGCTAGTCACTTCACAGGGTATATGTAAGGGTTTATAACCACTTTAATATTTGTGCAAAGTGGTAGGACTGAAAGCTGCTGCGTCAGTTGTTTCAGATAGTTTTGTTGTGAGCTTGTGTTTCCCTGCCATATAGGAACAAAATTAAGCACAGGTAACCAAAATGGTGAGAACATTTTGATTTTTTTTTTAATTTGTTCATTAGTTATATGAGAATGTTTGTTTTATTTATTTGTTAACTAAAAAGATGACGAGGTAAAATGTGTGTTTTTAGGACTTTCAGAAATCCAGAACATTTTTAGGGGTTCACAATCTCTTTGTACCGTACTTCTATCCCAAGGTTTGTAGCTTAAATAGATTCACATTTTTTTCAATATTGACTGAATTTTTTATAGTTTCCATGTCTCAATAATTTATTTTTATTGAAAAATTATTAAATGGTATTTTGCACTTTGCACCAGTTTTAAGTGCAATCATGTTTTCAAACAAAAGGTTTCAAGGGCAGGCTAACTCCCATTTTGAAGCCCAGCAACTACCCCTTTTTGGCCTTTGCATCAGTAAAATATGCTGCAACTTTGTAGCCTAGATTTGTCAATAACACAGCTTCCCCGTGCTGTCTTCTCTTCATAGATAAACATTTTCAATGAGACACACCAGTGCAGAGCAGCAGAAAGGCAGCTGTCCTAGAAAGTAATTAGCTCACCTTGTTCCTATGCTGAAGTGATGGTCTTTTCTTGTCTGCATTACCGTGCAATTTTCTTGCTGAATTTTATTTTTTTATGAAGAGTAGGCTGAGCTCAGCAAACCTAGCAATGCAAGGGGAAAATGTGTTATAGGTGCATGCATGTGATCTTGATACAGAGGCCATGGGTAGAGTGGTTACTGAGGTTTATCATAAAAATTAAACTGTCCTTAAAGAGAGGCACTTTGGCCAAAACTTCTTTTCAAGCATTTTTAATGGACACTGCCTGTAAATTTTTTTTTTCTGTGCAACCGGTCCTTGGTTCTGTCAGTGTTCTGTGTGTTCCCTATCTTGCTTTCTGATATGCCAGAATGCTTTCTGCTTCCTACAGCCCCTCCCTCCTTTCTAACATTGTTCCAGCTTGGGGGAGTTAGATAGGCAGGTACTAAAGAGGCCATTCACTATCTTCTCTCTTATTTCTTCAACCAAGACAATAATTCCCACTATGAACCAGATTTAAAATAGAAGTTGACATACAGGGAATTAAGTTAATTTATTACGCAGAAGGATTACATGTGATTACACAGTATTGTGTACAAATAAATTGTTAATCTCTTTATTCTTGTGTATTCTAAACCCCTACTTTAGAAGTTTTTAGTAATATTTAGCCATTGCTAATCTTAATTGACAGCAGTTTCTAAGACATAAATGGTCCATTAACCTAGGTCAGCTGTGAATTCTGGATTCTGCAGTTTTTTGAAATGAAATAAATGGGGAGGGGCTGTAGTGGACTCTTGTATTTCACGTGAGCTCTTGCTTTATGTAAATAAAATGGGGGGGGGGGGACAAAAAACTTAAAACAAAAACTGGTCTATTGAGGGATACAGTATGTCTTAAACCTTCAGGTTTACTACCACCTACTGAAGGACTGGACACTGGCAAACAACAGACTGTAGCCCAGCCCAGGATAGCCCCTCCCAATACCAGCATGCCTTCATTTTTTGCTAGTGTCCTAGGAGGATGGATTTTTTTTTTTTTTGGTGTAACTTAATTTTACTAGCATAATTTTTTTTTTAATTACTATTTAAGACTCATTGCATCACTGCTATAGCGCTGGTCTCTGTGATGCAACTATTCAGTGCAGCTGTCCTGACTTTTGAAGTGCAACTGGAACCTGCTAGACTGCATATGGGGCAGGAGATGGTTTAGCCTGGAAGGGACCGTTTGGGCATTGGGTTCTGTGTAAGGTGATTTCCAGGCTCCATTCTGGAACAAGTTAGATGCGGGACCCTTTCCAGACTCCGAGCTGTTGGCACTGCCTCAGTGCTTTGCCTGTCTCTGACAACCCACTCTGAGTAGGCTGAACATGCTAAGCTCCAGGGGCTGCCTTATTTGCTTGGATTGCTATGCACCTTTTATTAATCTCACTTTCTGCCAGTTTCTACCATGGAAAGGGTAGTGACAGGAAGTGTCAACAGAGCATACCACACTCATTCCCTTCATTAAGTGCCAAGTAAGCATCTCCCAGCTGCTGCTACTCAAGCAATAAGACGTGGAACTCTGATCTTTGGTCCACTCTTCCCCCCCCCCCCCCCTTCCAGAGAAAGACCATGAACACCTCCGGGAATTTGACCCTCATTTGCTTCCAGCTGTTTTGGTTTTGTGATTACCTGATGCCTTGCCTTGTACCCTGAGCTTACATAACTTAAGTGCCACGCAGTCACAATATGTCTGATTCTAGACATGGGAAAAGGTCCCACTGTCCCAGGTGCCCACAGCTCACACTTTACTAACAGCTCAGGTGCTGCTTGCAGCATTACCAATGATGTGGCCAATATATGCAATTTGAAATCATGTTGCCTTCTGCTAGAGTATGTCCCATTTTTAGGATCTCAAGCTTCTTTGCCCTTTCACAAGACATTCTACAATTGTGCAAGACATTGTGGCCCAAATCACCCAGCTATTTACTGTCTGACTGCAGAGGCCACAAGCATGCTGCCATGCCTTTCCCCTGTAGACTCTGTATCCAATCTGCCCATTGCCTCTGTGCTATCAGCCACTGACGCTCTTGATTCCAAGTCAATCCAGTCCCTACTGGACTAGCTTGCCTCAGAGGAGTTGCAGTGTTCTGCTTTAATTCCAAATTTAGACTCCTATTGATGTAGTGCCCACCACTCTGAAAACTAGAGGACCAGCCTTTTGCTCCTGCCACTGCTATTCCCAGTCTTGGGCCTTTTAGAGCCACTGAGACCACAAAGACTGTTACAGTGCATCCTTTTTTCTAAGTTTTCCTCTATGGAGTTTAGAAACACACTAACAAGATATTTAGTCCTTCCCCATTATTAGCCTTGTACTTTGTTAAAAAAGCAGTCTGCAACTGCTTTGTGTGGATTTGGCAGTGGCCACCTTGATAAAGCAACTATTGTTCTGGAGGGGGATGAGTCTGTTTTTAAGGACTCAAATGATATGCAGTTGAACACCTTCTCTAAAGCTCTGTTCACACTGGCAGGCTTTGATGCTCATCCTGTTTTGACTTTGCATTGCCAAACTCTTACTGTCTGGTTAAATCCTTTTTAAAAAGGATCTGGTCTCTGCTGCGATTAAACCCTTGGACATAAAACTGTGGAGCTGATGACTGTTGCCTATAGATGTGACTGGCTGCTGAGGGTTTCCCATCTCATTTCCACCACAGGTCTCCTGTCAGTACACCGGCAGAGGAATCCACGGCTAAAAAGCACCTGCTCCACATGGACTTCAACAGACATCTCTTCAGATCTGCTCT